GATCTGAAGTCTCTGAAAATTTCGAGTATAAATATTCATAACTTCCTTCAAAAATGCCCTGGTAAAAATTGGCGATAGGAGCTGCGTTTCAAAATACCATAGGAATTCTTATAGCCGGCTAAAGAAGGCTACAGAAAATTATATAGCTGGCTGTAGAATGCGGAGAAAACCATACGGCCGAGCTATATGAAGCGATAAAAAATTATGCAACCGGGCTATAGCTCCTACAGCCGGGTTTACCCTTTATCGCCTGGCTGTTGCTTTTTCGCCATCGGTTATAAAAGGCTATAAGAAATTGTGTAGAAATTTGTGTGCTTTGGAAATCATTAAGTTTGATACGGAACCACCTTAATATTTACAACTTTAATACATATTTTTTTCATCAACTAAAATGAGAATAATCCATACAGGACGTGCAAACAATTCAAAATCATGAGTTGAATAACGCTAACTCCGCCAGATTAAATATTAGAGCCTAACTTAAAGCGGAGCGGCGACAAACTGGCGCCTACAAACCTAACAGGGATACTTCACGCATTGCGCAACGCGTGAAGTATCCCTGTTAGGTTTGTAGGCGCCAATGCGCGGTTCGCGCTGGCTGCCCGCCTGCCGCACCGCAGCGTGCCACGGCGCTTGAAGCAACTATTCCGCACCAGAGGTATTGCACAGTATCATACGAAACTGAAGGTGCTCTAATATATTAGGAATGGCAGGCATCCATCAAAAGTACGGAGCTTTCCTCGCAAAATAAATCAAGATACTACGGCCCAAAAAAAGAACAGTAGTCCAAAAACTCACTAAGTCCTAGCATCTGTAATTAGTGTCGTTTAGCATACACTTTATCGCCTGGCTGTGAGTTGCTTAATCGCCATTGGCTATAAAAGGGTATCAGAAATTGTGTAGCCGGCTATAGAAGCTATTGGAAATCTTAAAGCCGGCCGTAGGTCTATGGTATTTTGGAACACAGATTCTACTGGCAATTTTTACATGGGTGAATATTCTCCACGAGGGGATTTCGCAAAATTTGAATGCTAATACGGCGTTTTTTCTTAGCATGACAGTACAGTGTAAGGTTGAAGGTAAAAAGCTGCTCCAAGTTGAGGATTTCCCTATAAGCTTGATTTTTCCTAATCTTTCATTCAAGCCTTAGTGTATAGTAAGTATCAAAAATGAGGCAAAATCACTAACTTTCATAGATATTCTTTGAATAGACATTGAACAAATTCCAGAGTCGAGGTCAAATGTTATTTTATTTGTACAAAAATTGGCCACTCCTCAAGGAGCTTGAGGCCGAGAAACTCCCAGACCTCGAGCTATCGAGGAACCTGGCGAAGATATTGAGGAGTTTGTAGCTCCCAGTCGGAGAGGTAAGTCGTTCGAACTTTTAGAGATGCTCATGGTATCGTTGGTCCTCACCCTATTAAGTTGGTTCCCTGGCTGCGCCGTCAGAGTAAAATTCCTTGGCCTGGATGATGTTTTCACGGCTCGGTGAAGCGGTCCTAGTGTTGGAAAATTCCCTATATTCAACATAATATTGGACCAAGTATATAACCTTTGCATGAATAAATAGATCGGAATAATACTGGATGATGGAAATACCGGGAGATGTAAGCGTAACAAAAAAGTCTAAATTTAAAAAGCAGCTTTTTGCGCAAATGACTTCGAAAGTTTTGTTTTTCATTAGTTTAAATCATAATCAAATCATTAGTATACTCATGTGTGTATGAGAGAAAAAGTATGATGTGCTCATTTCCAGGTCGAAGCTACCACAAAAGAAAGAGCACTGCGCATAATAGAGGACTTTTTCAGTAATAGGCCGTATAAGGCTTGCAATGCTGCTAAGATTGTGCAATTTTTTATAGCATTCGCGGCAGTTTAAATTTTTTCACTGTCAACTTACTTCCTCACAATATTGAGGGAAAATTCGGAGCAGATTCAGAAAATAATTCATTGCAGAACTGTTGGATAAGTTACTTATAACAAGATATCTACGTTGCACAATCTTAACAGTATTGGAAGTCGCATACGCCCTTTTACCGAAAAAATGTCTCAGTTAAGTTCTCAGTACTTTTTTGAAACATTATTGTGACATAACGGGTCTACGGTTGAAGTTTGTCGAAAGTCATCCTCTCATATCCTTGCCTCATTTCTAAATAATTTCTTGTACACCTGAGAAATTGGTGGGTTAAATTTTTCGTGCCATCCTGATAGTGTCGCAAATCATTTAAAAAAGAGTTTGTTTGATGAATCACCATACAGAAAAAATATTAAGTACTGCAACATGTTTTTTTTACATATATTTTACGCAAATTACGATAAACACGTTGAAACTTTAATTTAATTTATACTTGAGAAAATGAGTTTTTTGTATACGCCAATTCACATTCTCCGCTCACAGAAAACCGGAAGTTACTTGAGACAAATCGAGCATTAAACTAATCTCGGGATACTTTCCGACGAGAAAATTTTTCTTGATAGTGATTATTTTTTATTAATTTATTTTCAAAATTTTGAGTGCCTTGTTCAAATGAAAGGAAAGAAAATTTGTGTAAAACCATGCTCATTAAATTATTTGCCTGACGTTATGCTATTTTTAAATGACTGATTCGATCTACCTTGATTATGGATTTTTGACGAGAGGAAAGTTTGAATTCACTGTTTGCAGTGTGAACTGCGAACGTCAGCTTTTCACTTATGACTTAATTCGGAAGTTCTCGATATGTTCAACGTATTTTGCGTAAAATATTTATAGGAAAAATTGTCTGCGGTGCTTAGACTCACACCCTGTCCATTTTGCCACCTTCCAGACAAAGTATCACAAGTCCCACGCGACGTTCCAAAATTTCCGCCACCATTTTATTTTTTTACAGAGAAATTGTTCAACGAAGCTGTCCAAAAATTTCACCGAATTGTCTCTGTAATACCGATAAAATTCAGAGAAATTTTCAAACCTATTCAACCAACAATTTCTCCGTGAAAAATAAAATGGCGGCGGGAATTTTGAAACGTCGCATGGCGCTTTGTGATACTTGGGCCGAAAGGTGAGGATTTCATCCCTCATTTCCCCGGAAATTCCCTTCCTCCCACCTGAATAATTTTAGGTAATGAGTCTCACCTATACTCGGTCTTTGACTCGTTTAGTCGCACTTTATGGATT